CTTCGGGGTCTCCTTGCGGAGGCCGGTCTGCGTCGATTGTGCGTTCTGTTAGGCGCGAGGTTGGGGGCCCCTGGCAAGGCGAGCTGGTTACCAGTGGCCCAAGGCGGGTCAAACTTGTCAAGGAAGAGCTCTTCGAGTTTGAGCCAGGCTGTTCTGTCTGACGCTGCGATCCACCACTGCTGTCCTGCGATTGCGGAAATCTGCCTTTCCGGGTCACGGTCAGGGTTATGGTGGCCAGTGTGGCGAACTCCGCGGGGGTGGTCCCCGGGTGGCAGTGCCTGCTGGTCCTTCCACCACGAAAGATCGCGCCAACGCATGATGTGAAAGGTCGGCGAGAAGGGGGCACGTCCAATGTGCCCCCATAACCCCCACATCAGGTGGAGTGCGTGCGACGACCAACGTTCTAGTTTATGTTGGTGAAGGAGCAGCCTTGCCTTCCTCATAGTGCGCACGTGCCATTCCTGCCAAGGTTCGGTGGGGCTTCGTTTCCCCGACGTCATAGCCCGGACTTGCAGGAGTTGCACGCTATTCGCTGCTTGAAGCAATGAAGAATTTACAGGCCAGGCTGGGCATCCCCAGAGGGCGGCTCCTCTTATGAGGCACTGGTGCATGAACAGCCGTTCCTGCACTGGTGCTCTTGAACAGAGCAGTTTCTTGTGCTGATGGAATGCCTTACGGGCACGGCACTGCATTTCAGCGATGATCGGGGCGGCATCCCCCGAGAAGGAGATGGGTGCTCCAAGGATCGTCATGATGGCCTTGGGTCCGTCTGGCTTGACCGAGACCTCGCCAATGCGGAAACGAAAGGGGTCATCGTCGAGATTGGAGATGACCTGTGTTTTCTTAGGATTGATGCGGAGGCCTAACCGCAGCAGTTGCCTTTCCAGCTCGGCTAGGACGTCTTGGACGTATTGTGGGGATTCCCCCCAAATGTAGGTGTCGTCCATAAATGCAGCCCCTGGGTGGGGAGGCGGCGCAAGAGCCTGATGACGCCCTACGTGTGGGGGATTTCCCCCATTGATTGCCAACAAAGTTGCATCGAGGGCTTCCCCGATCTCAGCCGCGAAGAGTACGGGGCTGTCCGGACTGCCCTGCCGAACGCCATTTGATTGGCCCGTGTCGACTTGATGCTTCTGGACATGGAAATGCAAGTCGCGAGCCTCGAGCAAGCTGAGCCATAGGCGTGCTTCCCAGGGTTTACCCCCGGCCTTGGCGATCTTCCTAACCACGAGGTCTCCTAGCATTTCTTGTGCAATCGAGTCAAAGGCCTTAGCAATATCAATTTTAACTATATAGAAAGGCGTTTTCCACTCATGAGCGACTCGCGCCAGTTTGCGAAGTGAAAGCACCAGTTCGACCCCTTGCTTTCCCCTGCTTGCCCATTGGTGCTGGCAACAGTCCTGTAGGAGGGGGACTCCCCTGAGCAGCAGGAGTTGTGACGTCCATTTAAGGACCGCGCTGGACAGGGTGATGGGCCTGGTATCAGACCAGTTGGCTGGCTGCAGACATTTGGGCAACAGAACAGACGCACCTGCCATGGCACCTGAGGGGAGTACACCCCTATAGAGGCTATCATTCAGGAGCTCTGCAACGATAGGCTGCCACCTGGGATGGTCGAACATTAGGCGGAGAGCCTCCAGTGCGATTCCATCAGGGCCTGTAGCCTTGTGGTTTTTCCATTTAGCCATAGTAATTCTCATCTCTGCTTCCGTGAAGGGTCTCCACGGGACGTGTTTGCACATGCGCTCGGTTTCGTCGAGCAGGAGTTGCATAGCACTCCTAGGTCTTTTCAGGGGGGGCACGACAAAAAATCGACGTCATGTGGTTTTGCAACTTCTCCGACCAGGATGGGTCATCCAGGAGTTTAGCTGCCCAATTGGAGTTGGCATCTTTATGCTTAAGGGACCTGAGGGCATACCAGTCTTGCTGACCAGCGCGTTCCGCAAGGCGCTGTTTCCACTGACGGCGTTCCTGCTGCAGTGTTTTGGAAACGAGTTTCCATGCTTGCCTAGAGTCCGTGCCTACCGCGGCTTGTTTGGCCTTCTTGCGGAGTGCTTTGAGCTCGCCACTCTCACGGAACTTAGAGGACCGGTTTGCTGGGCGGGTAATGGCTTTGGCGGCAGCGGCAACAATGGAGTGCAGATCTCCGGACTCCACTATTAGGGAGTCGAGGGTGGAATCGCACCCTGGGGTCAGCTCTCTGGCACACCAGACTACATTATGCTTGGGTCCCGGCTCAAAGGAGAGGAAGGCCTCCCCTAGGATGGGTTCATGATCCGACGAGGCTCGGTCCCTAAAAGCGCCTACAGAAACCTTAAGGGCGTGCGTGCCACGGATCGCAACGTAGTCGAGGCGCCTTGCCGAAAAAGCAGTATTGTAGGGATAGTACGAAGGCGTCGCCACATCCTGTTCAGGCATCGAGATGTCATGCTCCAGAAGCCATTGGAGGATCTGCTCTCCCCTTCCTGAGCACGACAGCGTGGTATCCCCGAGGAGATCCCCCGGTTGGAGGAAAGTCTCATTTGCATCCATACCCAACAGGATCTTATTGGTCCTGAGGCATGGGGCTGACCCCCAGTCAGAGAGGGCTTCTGCCGTCTGCGCAATGCTGAAGCGGTGCGAAATGTGTCCCGAGATCAGCCCGATGCGCTCGCAAGAATGCAGCCTGAGCATTGTCGAGAGCGCGGCCTTGTGCAAACGCGTGGATTCATGCGAGCCTAAAACTTTGAGAAAGGCAATCCCACAACCTCTCCATTCATCCTCTTGTTTGCCGTGTAACAGCATCCAGGTATCATTCTGGTCAAAATGTGGCCCTCCTTTAGTAGTGATCTCTTGGAGAAACACCACTTGAAGGCGCGTTAGTGCGGGTTCTCCCCGGAAACCGGCCAACAGGTCCAAAGTGGATTCAGGACTATGCCCGCCGAGATTCCAAGTCGCAAAATAGAAAGGGGCGGCATCCTCTTGAGGCCGCATCCAAGTGCGGTGAAACTGTAGGGGCAGCTCCCCCTGTTCCAGCTGCAAGGAGAGTCACTTGAGAGCCGCGTGGAGTGGATCCCACGCTTTGTCCAGCTGTGCCTTGTTCACTCCCAGTAGGGTCGCAATCTGCGGGAGGTCAATCCATCCGCATCCGGCGGGGCTAGACCCCGAGGGTCCTGCGGAGGTTGCTGAGCTGATCTTCTGATTGCGGAACCACACTGTCCCAGTCGCCCATTCAGGTTCGATGCATGGCAAGGTGGATGGCCCACCTGCTTCAATGATGAGCCTTTTCACCTTTCCAGCCAATGCAGCACGACGACGGCGCTCCGGTGGTTGGCTCACTGTGAGCCATAGTTTGGCTGGATTTCCGTCGGGCTTGCGCCCCAACGAGATATTGGATGCATTGACTCTGCGGATGCATGCCTGTGCCCTCTGGCGCATGGCTTCTTCGCTCTCGCCTTCGTTCTGATTCAAGGGGATGAGGACGAACCCCCTGCGCACTCCTGGCACAAAGGCGTCTGCCATATTGAGTTGAAGTTGTAGGTCACGTGCCATCTCATTGGCCTTCTTGAGCACCTCGCTTGCAGGACTGTCCGGTGGCCAGCCACCCATCACCAGTGCGGGGACTCTCCCCGTGTCGATCGTAGACGGTGTGCTCCCGCTGGACTGGAGGCTTTTCACTGTTCCCTCAAGCTGAGACAATCGCCCCGCCAAAAGCTTGGAGTCCGAGGCCAGCTCAGCGATTCTGAGGCCTTGGTCTGCTTGACCCGTCGAGAGCGTTTCGACGGCCTGGAAGGTGCGGTCATTGTGCTGCTGCAAGTTCTTTTCAAGCGCAGCCACTCTGTCAGACATGCCTGCGACAGCCCCCTGGATCTCACCTCGGACCACTTCACGGATGGAATCCAGGCTGATAGCTTCTTCCTGGATCCCTCTTTTGCGGAGAGGGGATTCGACTTTCCCCCCTGCTTGGACATCCATTGGGTTCGCCATGGCTGGATGCAGTAGCACGGCAACGTGTCCTCGCCGTAGGAGTCCTGTAGGTTCGCCGATCACCTCGTGCAAGCGGGCGACGAAGTCCCGAAGGAACACGAAGTAGAGTGGATCACGGGGGGGACCGTTGCACAACTATCTCGCGGGCAGGAGCGTGCAGCGAGTAGAGCGCAAACTTCACGTTCACCGTGTACAGCAATGGCTCAAAAGAGAGAGAGGGCTGAGAGTGGCACACGAGGGCAGGCCCCCGGGTTTTAGGACTTGGGCGGCCGAGAAGCAAGCGGAGTGAGGGAGAGAAAGGGCAGAGCGGCCCCCAGTCCTTGAACCACTCGCGGCTTGAGCCAAAATGGCTACTCTCTCTCTCTCTGTCTCTCTCTCTCGCTTGCTTGCTTGCTTGCTTGCTTGCTTGCTTGGGATGGGGACGGGGTCCCCTGGCCCGAAGGCCTACCCCCTCGGTCCGCGAAGGTACGTACTCGAGGCCCTTTCGGGGTGGAGACATACACCCGGCTCAGCTGTGCAGCGGCACGGGCAGAGGCACGGGCAGAGGGCCCCCCTTGCACACTGTAGTTGTCGAACTGACGTCGAACTGCAGAAACACCTATTGATAATTACTATCCCCCGCCAAACACCTTGTGCCTTTACCTCTCTTGCCTCTCTCTTCTTCCTTCAGGTAAGAGGGGCAAGTCACGCCCCCCGGCCCATAGGGGCCCCCATGGTTTATGGGGCTTTCGCAACAAGACAGTACACGAACCGATGACAAATCTCCCGTACCTCTCAGTCCCCCGAAGAACACACGGGGAAAAAATTGCCACTTCCTTACACGTCTCTCTCTCTCTCTCTCGTTGCAATCCCTCCTGCAACGTTGGCAATGACCTTTGCTCTGGCACTGACCTTTGCTCGCCGCGGTGGCCATTTCACTGATTGAATGAACTATCACTGACTATCACCATTCGGCGGTCCCTGTGTAACCAAGCAAGGCAAGTTCAGCAGAGCCTTGAACAAGGACGGTGGTGGAAATCTGCTGAGAGCCGCACAAATCCTTAAGCGGTTTGTCCTCAACTCCTGCTGGGCGCGGCTAGGCCAGACGCAGCCAGACATTCGGCGGCATGCAGCTTCAAGGAATGCCGAAGCTTAACTTTGGCTTTCCTCGGAGATCTATCTCCACTTTAGATCCACGGGAGCCTTCAGCAAGGCCCCAGAAGCTTCGCAAAACATTTCGGATACCTCTCCAAGCTTGGACTCGGCCCCGGTCGCATCGTGACGGTCGGGTACGCCAGTGAGATTTGCCAGCGGCCTGGCCTTCAGCCCCCCACCAATTCGTAGAATGCATGCTACACTGCTACACGGGCTTGCCAACGACTGACAACGCAAAAGCTGCTTGTTCTCCGAGCTGTAGACATTTCGAGGATGTGCTGGAACTGCTCTCCAGCATGCTTGAAGTACACGTCTTGGCCGAAGCAGTTTACAAACATTCTTGGCGCTGCTTCTTAAACCTGTGACTTCGGCTCCAACACCAATTCAGTATTTACACCGCATTTACCAAACATCTGGACAGCATCCCACCATATCTCAACCACCAAAGGCAGCGCAACCAGGTCAGCAGCACGCCACAACTACGACCACGTCGTGGGGTGGATTCGCACTGGGACGTGGAAGTCTTGGACAGCGGCCATCCCATCCACTCTCGTTTGGGGCAGCCGGCCGTGTCTGTCTTCGATTTTTTTTTCGATTCATCTGGCTCGCATGTGTTCAATCCGAAGCACGCTCAAAAACAAAGCCCTTGTCAACATCGCTGCCTTTCGCTCACTAGCGGACAAACAAACCGAACCGGCTCACTTTACATTCTAGGTCGTGCCACTCAACACGCGCGACATATCCACTTCTCTCGCAATAGTACTACATGCAAGCATCCTATCGGCAGAAGCCCGCACAACGAGATTCACAAAACGATCACAAATCACTTCAGCACCATTACCATAAATTACCACTCTACCAACAAGAGATGTTTGTACAACGGAAGAATTAAAAATGAATAAACCAAACACCAGGGAGAGTACTGGCGCCAGCTGTTAAACCACACTCGATCTCGTCGCCGACGGACCACCGATCGCTGCACCTGCAGTGCAACCCGACAATGGCAGGATTCCTTGTAAAACCATCCATTTCCGCTTTCCATGCTTGATAATGAAAAGAACTTACTGTTGAATCTGAAGCTTGGAGCTGCACTGTTCTTTCGAAGCGTGGCCTGGCACCAGCGCTGCCGAAAGACGAGCCGGCACAGTACAGTCTCGCTCCAGACATCGATGTCCAGCCAAAACAAGTCCAAAAATCCGTTGACGAAGGATTTTCCATGACCGCCATGAAAGCCGACCTTGGACGAACGACAGGGAAATTCCGACGAAGGACAAAGCTACTTGGGCGCAAGCCTCGCCACGGGACCTGGCTTGTGCTTCATTCATACTCGCCACGGCAGTAAGCTGGATCCGGCACCATCCGACCATGTCGCGATTGATGGTCTGTTCGCGTGCCTGCGGACACGCGTTTTTTCCACAAAACTAGTCGTACCTTATTACAACGGACGAATTCCCACCTGGCCCGGTGCACAAAGACCAATAGCAATCTCACCAAACCTCGGCCCAGCATTCCTGTTCTCGCATTATGTCGTGTAGTCGACTCGCCCGCCAAGAGACGTCCCCAAATGCAACACTCGAAGCTTGAAGCTCTCGCCCGGTGACAACGGCACCCTTAGACATCACATGCTGTCGATCGCGATCGGTTGGTGCTGCCAGGCTGGCTCAGCCTCAGACGAGCCTTGAGCAGTGCAGACTCCGTTTTGCATGCTCGGGCAGCTGGCGCTGAACACACCGGCAGGTCCTTGGCAGTGCTGCTGGTGCCAAAATACCTCTTTCCACGAACGTGCCAGTCAGGCCTGATGGCACTAGGTCAGCTCCCGCCGACCTCATGCGTCGATTGGTTCGAAAATTCCGCGATTGCAGCTCATCCCCCCCAACTTAGCCCCGCACATAAGTTCCACGAACTTTTCACTTTCGGAATGGATTCCATCAGGAAGTTTAGAAATTTGCAGCTCCTGCAACCAGAGGCTGATGTCAACACTCAAACGCCAAATGCCGATGCACAACAACTTGCAAAGTCACCGGCAGCTGAGCTTCCGGGGCCGCAGACATGCATGCAGAAAACCGGGGTCAGATGGTGTCACACCCTCGCTGGTCGTACCAATCGCTGTTGTTCCTCGAACTTTCGGATCTTGCGGCATGAACAATGCACTTTGCCATTTGGGCCCATGTATCATCTGCGAGTGCGCTCTGCTTGCATCCACACTACGGTAAATGCAACACATTTCCAAGATTTTTCATTCCTCGCATTCCAACATTTCAAGCACAAGTGAATCCTAACTCCCAAGTCGCGCTTCAACCTGTCAACTAACAGAGCAGCTCGGTCTGCTCAGTTACGGCCACCGCCTGTCTCACACCCAATTCCGTGCCTCCGGCATGCTTCCCTGCCACCGCCCCACCCGCGCCCCTGACAATTTGGATGACCGCAATAGCTCAGTAAGCACTAAACCTAAATCATATGGCCTGCGAACCCAGCAAAAGCATCATGGAACGAAATATCCTTTGTCATCCTGTATACGGTCTCTCTTCCTATTGTTGACCTTTTGAGCAATTGATGCATAAAGCAAATTCCGGTTCAGCTGGCGTTCCTATGCGAGACGTAAATCACCGTAAATCAAAAACTCCTTCCAATTAATCCAAAAATAGTTGGTGCACACCGGCATCTACGTGGAAGTTGTGTGACCGTGCGCGGCCCTGATGTTCCAACATTGCCTGACTTCTTCGTGGCATCGCCAGACAGCGCGCATAGCTGGCAGAAAGATCGGGAGGGAGGGTGCGCAAGAGCATGCAATAGGTGATCAGCGCGCGGCGAGGCGCACATGGTGAGGAGGAGCCATCCACACTGGAGGTCCGGCAGCAGGGGGCTCCTGCAACAGCCGCGCCTCTTCGAGCGGCCAAGTGTCGGTGTGGGCGGCCACAAGCCGCGGGTGCCCGAGAGGGGTGCCCACGGCAACGAATCCGTGCCAGCCCTTGTCTGTAGCGCAAGCGGGTGCGGCCGAGTCGCCTCGTCGAAAGTGTCGGCAAACATACGGGCAAGGCTGCGCGACACATGGCGACGGAAGGTGTCCCCATGTGTCCCCCGTATAGCTATGCCGCCGACGCCTCCTCCGAAGCGCGGTGAGGAGGGCCAGGGCGGCGGCGACGTTGGCGGGGACGCGTGCGGCAACGAGGAGGTTGGCAGCATGCGTAAACAGCTCGAGAGCCTCAGCATCGTCGAGCAACAGCTTGTAGTGTTCACATGTGGTTCCCGACAGCCCAGCAGCAGTGCCGCGCTTGGCAATCCGCCGAGCTTGAGCGACGGCGGCGTCGTTGAGCACAGCCCGTGAATCCGGTTAGAAGTTGAGCAAGGCAGTAGGCACTTCGTGCAAGGGCACCGGCGGGCGCCGCTCTGGATAAGGCATTCATGCAGCGATGGTTTCGTCTGTCCCGGGGGCGCTCGCCGCAGAAGTCAGGGTAGCGCGAGCGCGCGAAACTTCTCCCCGCCGCACATTGGCGCACGCGAGTGCTCGCCGTTGCTCGCGAAAGGCTTCGTTATGGTCAGCATCCGTGACGTCTGCTGCGGAGCCAGCACGTGGTGATGCGGCAGCGGCTGCGCGCGATGCGCTGAGCAGAGTGTCCCAGCGTCCAGCGAGGAGGTCGCGTGAACGTTGCAAGAGGGCCTCGCGGCCGACCGTGCCCGGTTCGCGAGGAAGGTGGATGGAGGTGGAGCAGCAGGCGCGGTGCGAGCAGGAACAGTTTCCAAGCTCGGGTCTGTTGAGGGGCCGTGCCGCGGGTGTATGCTTCGGTCCAGGACGCTCGCGTCTCTGGCGAGACCAGGCCGGCTGCATGGAGCAGCACACGTCGGATGATGTCTTGCCATAATGTGGGCTCGTGATTAGTAATGG